TTTTTTTAATATCTTCGTTACCCGGGTGTGCACAGAAGGAATTGGCTATAGCAGTTGTCAACATCGGGATGTTACGTAGAGCGGTGTAGAAAATCCAATATCATCTAAGTCACTGGAGACTTGTTATGAAACAAAGATTAGAAACAAATATTATTACTAAAAATGTTTGAAGGAATTCTAGTTTTAGCTGACTGCTTAACATAAGTCACAGGTAACTTTCTTCTTGTACCTGAAGTCCTGTCTGTTACAGATCTCTTCCGTAGTATACGGAAAAATGTTCTTTTTTTTTGAGTGGTTTTCTTCATTACTTAGAGATGCCTTTTACTGCAATTTTAGCTGTATTTAGGGGAAAAGTGTACTAGTGAAGTGAGGATCCCATGTATTGTCATACTGTCATATTTTGTAGTGACTGTGTTGTACACCAGTCTGCCTGGGGAGGGCCACAGAAATACAGGGAAGACAAGTCTACTCCTAGCTGACATCAAGCAAAAATAAGTTACTTTGCATATGTGTTCTTTCATTTTAGAAGATGTGAGGGTGTTAAGCGGAGATAAAGCACGTTGAGGATATTAGTTTTGTAGTGTGATATCCTTGAAGTGTCTGTCCATTTTTCTCCTTGCTTTTTCATGTGACACTAAAATACATTAAGCTGAATCAGATGATGTCTCACTTCTTGCTGTTCAAAACTAATATTATTTATGAAATACACTTAAAAACTGGTAGTTTGTATCCCACATCTAAAAATTTAAGGATATCAAAGTTATGATTTAAACCTGGACACCTGATTATTATTTTTTTTTAATGTACTGTAAGCCCATGAATGTTTTGTTGCTGTCACTTCATTAATGCACTGGTTCTGAAATATTTGTGTATGATAATGTCATGGCAGTCTTTCATATGGCTCTCCAAAATTACACTTGTAAAATATGATTAAACCAGAACAAGAATTGTGCTGCTTATTTTAAAAATCAATATTAAAAGGCCTGATTTATACTTATTATAGTGAAACTATTAACTGATCTTTAAATACATTCCCATCCTTTATGAGAAACCCCGGGCTTTGTCTTTGACTTGGCAAAAATCGTTCACTAGTTGTTCTGAGACTTCTTAAGTGGAGTCTTAGTAGTAGGTTGAAAAAGTCTTGAGTATTAGTTTCTGTCAACTTTTATGGCTTTAGAATTGTCAAGCAAAAATGCATAAAATTAAGTGGGAATTGTCTGTGCCCCATTAAAATTTCTCTTCCTCTTCACAAACAGCTGCCGAAATACAAAGAATACTGCATCAGCTTGGAACACCACAAGACACGCCTGAGTTGAGGCAACAGCTGTGAGTACTTCACATGAAACTGTTTAATTTCATTGCATTGTAAACAGTCTCCTGGTAGGTGATGAGGTGGTTTTTGTTAGGCAGAGTGCTTGATCTCACTGAGAAAGGCAAGCGTAGAGAAATACTTGAAATCTAAATGTTGAGATGCACTTTTTGAAATGAATCTCGGATAGTCTAAAATAGAGTCGGCTGGTTTGCCCATGTACATTGCATGCAGTATCAATACATCTATAAACCCTATGCTGTATATCAGCAAGGGGAAAGTGGCAGGACCAGAAAGCAATATCACTGTTTAAAAAATAAACACCACACCCCACTACCTCAATGAACTCTTGAAATCTGCTTGTATAAGTTTCACAAGGTAACGAATGTATTGGGGTTTTCGTGAGATGTGATACTGGGGGAGAGAGGGGAATGTCTTTTTAGTGCTGAAAGCTACAGTGAGGGATGACATTATAGAAGAGACATGTACCAGAAGAACTAAAACAGCAGAAGTGAAATAAGGCTCCAGGGCAGATGCTGTGCTGTAGTTCAGTCACCTGAAGCTGGACTTTCATTAATATGCCACTAGCAGAGACAATCAGTGGCTTTCCACTTCTCTGCACAGTCTAATGAACCAGTATGATTTTTTCCATTAAACTCATTTACCACATTAATCTCAGCACAATAAATGCACGTAAGCAATGTGTTGTGCTAACCCTGTGGGTGCAAAAGTTGCCAGTCTTCGGTGTGGTTAATGCTGTACTGTGACCGTTCAATAGTAGGAGAAGGTGTGTATTGGACCAAAGGCATCACATTCATTTTGTGTGAACAACCAAACTGCCTTATAATAGCCCGAGTTCAGTGCCCATAACGTCAGCCAGGTACAATCCACAGTGGATATCCTACCGGAGACTGTGAATAGGTGAAGACCAACATACATAGTTTATGCAATAACCAGTCAGGATCTAGGCATAAATTCACAACTAAACACGATAGACACAGTTGTGAAGGACATGTTCCAGTCCCTTTATGGAGGTAATATATACGGTAAGCTTCCCTGAGTTTTCATCTGTCTTTTTTTCACCTATCTGAACATTTGGCCTTTCCTTTCATGTTGGTATGTATCTGAAGAGTTATTTGATTATTTTAAATATCGATGTTGATTGCTTACTAATAGCTTTCCAGATAGAACATTTTATATATACTGCAGAGGAGGATGCAAACACAGGTAAAAAATTTGAGTTGCTCAAGGAAAAAAATATGAAGGTTGGTAAAGGAGTATGTGATAGTATCAGAAGCAATGAGACAATATACCAAAAATTGCAATGCTGTTGAAGACAAGGCTTTTTTTTAAGCACTGTTAAAGCTGTTAGTAAATAATGAAGTTTTCAGCTAAGTTCACAGGTCTTGTATCATGGGAAAGCGTAGGTCTCTTTTTCCTGACAGTTTCCCAGTAACTGTCAGGAATTGACCTTTCATGGGCTATGGTATCAGAATTATATTCAAGCCACCATATGTTCTTCCACACGGAAAAAGCTTGGTCTTTTCTACAGTTATTCTGAATGCAGAAATGACCAGGTGTTTCCAACTATTGATAGCCTCAAAAGGACTAGGAAAAGCATGTTTAAATATTCATGATAATAAGAAACCTATTGCTGCACACTGGGAAAATAGAAGAAACTTAAAAAAAAAAAAAGGAGGTGAGTAACAATGCTGTCACATTGAGGAACATACCTTCTTCATCATCTGTCCTGCCTGGAATCCATGATGTCACACTTCTATAGTGAAGAACAGAGTAAAAATGGCTTCATGCACTTTAGAGAAGCATTTAGTACTGCTGCTTTTTAGAGTATCAGTGACATTCAAAGTAACCCAATGGTCTCTAATGAAACTTTGCATTTGGTTCTAGGCAACAGAAGCAGCAATGCACCAACCAGCTTGCCAAAGAAACTGACAAATACATTAAAGAGTTTGGATCTCTGCCTGCAATGAGTGAACAGGTATAAAACCAAAGAGCATGGCTCGTTTGACTATCATGTTGGCTCATGAAGAGTATTTGAGTGACTTCAGTTCTGCATGCCTATTTCTGTGCTCCTCACCAGGCTTTCAAAGCACTGTTTAGTTAGTGATCGCATTTGCACAACAGGGATACAACATAAGAATATTCTGTTGCAGTCCAGACTTGTTCCAAAGTTGGTTTTGTGTAACAGGAATGAGGTCGTTTGACTGAAATGGTAGGAATCAAGGCAGTGCGCTGTGCCTGTGATTGCAGGTAGCTGGGCAGTGATGCTAAGTCTGACTCCACAGGCACTCTGACATTCCAGGGTCAAGGAATTGTATGCCAAAACTGCTTGCAGGGCAGGTGGCCAGACTTGTTCACCCACTGTCTGAATAATTTGATTATGCACAGTAGTCTGTTCTACATCACTCAGATCAGCATCTGTGCTGTGTCTTGTCCACAGGCTTTTCCTTTTTTAAGAGGGGTGTGCAGGAGCTGTTCCTAAAACACCTTGTATGGTCTTTAAACTGCTTCTTTCCCAGGTCTGTGTAAAATCCCCTCAGGAGGTAACATGTGAAATGGCTGTTGTCATTAGCACACTCCTGTCTGCCATCCTGTGTTTTTTTTATCCTAGCAAAATCTGTCACTTACATAAGCAAAGAGCAACAGGATCCCAGAAAACATGGATTCATGTTATTGTCACTCAAACAATTTGCCTAGTCTGTGACTGGTCACCAAGGAGCCTTTAGGAAAATTAATTGTCCTGAAACACTGAACTAAAATGACAAGCCATGATCCATGTGTTCTCATCCTGTCAAGTTGTAAACTTCTAATAGGGGTGTTAAAATTTGGCCTTGGTAGATAACCTCTAGTTCATGCAATGCATGTTTTGGTTTTGTGTTTTTTTGTTTTGTTTTTTTTTTAATGGTTTTTCTGTTTCTTTATCTTGGAGCTGAAAAGTTGGCAGTGAGACATTTTACTGTTGAATTTTACTCCTTTTACTCCTTTTATCATAAGCATCTTCATCAAAGCTACCTCCCAATGAAACGCATAAATAACAGATTGATGAATGGCAATTGTAGCCTCTCAGAAATTTGGAAGGAAGGGTTGATAAAATGTATAAATTTAGGGAAATATAGTGGAGGCTCTCCCGAGTGCCCGGTATTCCTCTTCCCACCTCTACATCTTAAAAACGAACCAACCAAACAAGCAAAAACCTGAAAGGTTAGAACAGGTATTTTTGTACCTGTTCTTAAGCACTTAAGTGGGGATGTGAACCAATTCTGGATGCAGCTTAGTATATATTTCCAGCATTTATGTGAAACGCCCTGTTCTTTCTTTTCTGTACCCTTCCCCCACGCCATTCAGTTAGCTTTGCATAACTCGAACCATTCTATGATTCTATGATTTTAGCATCCACAGTATCAAAATATTTTACACTTAAACAGTAGGTTTTATAATCAACAGATAATAAGGAAGGTAGAAGCTTTCTTGTCCCTGCCCATTTCTTGTTTCCAGCTGTCAAATGAAAATAAATACATTGGTTTCCTCTTTAAATGCCATAAATTGTGCAATTATGTGTTCTCAGAAGGAAGGAAGGAAGGTTTGTCCATGCAGTTGCAAATGGTTTTGTAAACAGCCTTCCCTTACACCTATTTAGAAAAAAAAGGGTATATGCCTTAGCATTGAGCAGCCTGAAAATGGCAGAGCCTTGAAAACCCTGAGCTCATTTAACTTGATAAAACTTTTTCTCCCATAGCGTCAAAGAAAAATACAGAAAGACCGTCTTGTGGGGGAGTTCACCACAGCACTAACAAATTTCCAAAGGCTCCAAAGGCAAGCTGCTGAGAAAGAAAAAGACTTTGTAGCCAGAGTAAGAGCCAGCTCAAGGGTATCGGTAAGTATCAGTTATCCTCTGTTTACAATGGTGGTGGTGGGTGTCAAACTTGCCTCCACAATGCCACTTACAAAAGCTCATCTCTGACTCCAAATACTGCAAGCACGCGCTAAATGATTTTATAGTAAAGGCTGAATTAAGTTGTAAACCCCCCCTCCCCGAGAACTGTTACTTTTTTCCTTGCCTTTGTCATGCAAAGGTATGAACTGCCCCTAGGTTCATGCTGTAATCTTGCAAAAGCAATTTTTAGTAGATTTTGAAATGCCTTTGCTGGACCTTTTGATTTCAACAGATTTTTCCTGCAGGGAAGGATCACTTGTCAGATTTCTATGCAGTATTACAGTGGAGAAGTGCTAAGAAGCTTGAGATGTTGAGCTTTTCCTTGTTAGCATATCAATTTCGCCTTTTCACTCTGTGCCAAATACACATTGCTGTACTTGTAAATTTTAGCAGGCAGTTACTGAGTTGAATGTTTTTGTTCGTATTTCACCTTTGTGCATGCATAAAGCAAAATCAGGATGAGAACATGTTAAATCATGTTTCAGTTGGAAGTTGACTTACTATAAACCTTGTAATATTGACTCATTATAGAAGTGCTGACAGTGCTCCTTTCAGGGCCATAATGTTTTATTTATATTTTTAAACACTGATTGTGTAGGGTGGTGCTCCTGAAGATAGCTACAAAGAAGGAACACTTGTCTCTTGGGACAGGTAGGCTGAATTTCATAATAATTCTTAACCTAGCTCAGAGTAATAAATGGCCCACAGAGAAGCCAGTTGCCAATTTTTATTTTATTCTATTTTTTCTGATCAATTGCCTTTTTCTGGACGGGGGCGAGATAGGTTGTTCAGTTAGGTTTTCTTCCATAGGGCAGATGTAGAGAAGAGGCTTTGGCAGGATAAGTGGGAAGAAGAAGGAGCAGTTCACATCATTTCCCCATTTTTTTTCCCCCATGCTTCAGCTTTAGTCATCTTGTTAAGCTGCCCTAAGTCTGTATTTGGGCTTTCTGAGACTCAAATTTAGGTAAGCAGAGTCTCATCTGTCAATAGATTAAAACTGTTAAGTTGTGATAAGGGTCCAATGTTTACTGGGATCTCCCATTGCTTTCATACTCTCCAAGAACTGCTTCTCAGTCTCAGATTCTGTTTTGTTGGGTAGCTTCCTTTTGCCTCGGACATAAACTCAGCAGTTTATCATTCAGAAGAAACTTTGCCATTGTATTTATACTTGGAGTTTCCAATCAGCTAGCTCAATGCTATGGGCGATGTTGCTACAGCAGCTTCTTCCTATACCAAAGGTGTGTTAGACCTTCTCTGTTAGCTAGATAGGCAAGGGTAAAAATGTGCATTTTGTTAACTGATAGTGTAAAATACGTGCTGTCATTCTATTCTTCTGAGTTATTTCTCATTGTGCCTGTTCAATTCTGGGTGGGCTTTTTTTTGTTTGATAGTCAACCACAAGCACAAGTGCAAGATGAAGAAATTACAGAAGATGACCTACGTCTTATTGAGGAGAGGGAATCTTCCATTAGGCAGCTTGAGGTAAGTACAAGTGGTTTTACAGCAGAATATGCTTTTAATCTTTTCAAAGAAAAAACATTTTATAGTGGCATGAGCATTAGTTGCAGACATTAATCCTGAGGACTTAGGGTTTATTTGTGGATGTGTTTTTTTTTTTCCTTCAAAACTACAAATATTGCCTTTAGATGTGAAATGTGCATTAGAAAACTACTGTGTGAAAGCCATGTTTTGATACTGTGTTTAACTTCAGTGGTTCACATATGGAATAAGAGAGTGCTCATGTGAATGCAAGAAAAAATACATATCTTTTTTTTTTCCAACATAGTGGTCATATTATATAACCTTTTTTAACAATGACTATAAGTTAAGCAGAATTACACCTTTCCTCCCAGGTATTTCCAATGTATTGTTCAACATTTTCATTTTGTAATTTGCTTCTTTGAACGTTTCTGGAAATGCAGAGATGCTCTGTTTCATTCAAACTTTGTCATTAAGGGCTTGTCAAATAGTTTAAAAACTTTAAAAACAAGATGTAAACTATACAAAAAATTGTCACATGTGATGAAATACTGGCATCAAGAGACTTCTGTAAAGACAAAATTAATTTTTCCAGCCAGTCTGGAATCCGCATCTCTACCATCAATAAGAAAGATGCTGGAACTGGAGTTTGTCAGGTCTTGCTGATGCATGTGGCAAAATCCATTCTATGTATAAATTTTTCAATACCTTCCTTGCCACCCATACTTTAACTTACAGTGAATTAAACTAAACACATGTCAACCATTAGTTAAGAAGAGATCATATGCACAGTGGTAACATGACATCTATCACTTCATCGTAACCAGATGGTCATAGGGTTATGTAACATAGGTGCAATAGCCTGGCCATATTATACAGGCAATTTCTGTAAACTGTGGTGCTTATGAAATTTGTGTGTGTTTAATTTAATAGGTGTACTAAAAATAATGCAAAATACTTTCGGCACATGCTTTTATTAATTTGGCTTAAACAGATAGCTTTTAAGCAAAGTTGGCACGAGCCTTTCCCTTCACTTAAACTAATACAAGTATGTGTGTAGATAAGCACTCAGCAATGAGACCCTGTTTGTGATGTGATGTGCAGTGTACTTTGTGTACATACTGACCTTCAGTTGGTTTGATTATGATAAACTTGGTCTCACAGTACCAAAAAAGCCTTCCAAATAAACATATGGAGGGTTTTTTTATCCTGTGGTGTAAAGAGTCATGAAAGTGTACTTGGGAGGAGAAGGAGCAGTATTTGTATCTAAATGTACAGAGATGTGAGAATATGTTATGTCAACTAATGCGATGATTGGTTCCTTGCAGGCAGATATTATGGACATCAATGAAATTTTTAAAGATCTAGGAATGATGATTCATGAACAAGGTGATATGATAGGTAAGTCCAATTCAAATATTCTCTGAAAATGTTTTGATTCTGTTTCTCTGGAGAGCAGCAAGGTAGAACTTCCTTTTACTGGAAAAATTTCTCTAATGAGAATATGAATGCTAAAGCAAATCAGCTGCAACCTAATAACAGGTAGATTGGCTGAGGTGACTGGGAATACATTAAGAAAGTGTGTTTAAAATGTAGTTTAAAACATTATGACATCTGTATAAAATGTCTTTAAAAGTAGGTTTTTTTGAACTGTTTGTACATAAAATTGGAGTTCATGTGGGGATTTTTACAGTATTGACTAATGACATAAGTGTGCAGATTCAGCAAAGGTTCATGCTTTGTCCTCTGTAAAGACAGGTTTATTCTTTTAATGAAACGTGGTTGGAAAATACATTTTCCGAGTCTGCTGCTAAGCCATGCTGTTTTCTATGTCCAGCATACATTTTCAGGGCTTTTTCTGTCACGTTAGCCCATAATCTGTTCATATATTTCCAGGAAAAAAAAAAAAAGTCCGTGTCAGTGTGATAGAATACCTAACTAGAGTTGTGCCTCTTGGACTATATGTGTGTCTGTTTCCTCTGATTTCATAGTCCTTAGTGCTTTTTTAATCTGAGCAGAGGGTAGTCAGCGGCAAGTTAGAGGACAAGTAAAAGGTTTTTGGTTTTGTTTTGCTTTTTTTTTTTAAATAGAATTACTGAAAGTTTCTACCCCAGTTGGTATCTAAGATTCAGCCCTGGTTCTAGAACAGGGGAGCAGTTACTGACATGAATTCAGCCACTCATTGCCTGGGTGGTTCAGAAATTAACTTAGGCATAAGTATATGATGGGTCTAACTTCCATAATGCAAGGTATAAAACTTGAGTATTGATGAGGACACCAGCAGTCGGGAGGCAGCTATTACATATGCTCTCAATTGTATTTCATTATTCCAAACCTTTGGCAGGGTTATGACTAACCAAAATTTGAAATCTTTCCTTTTAAAATAAAGACAGCATAGAAGCCAATGTGGAAAATGCAGAGGTACATGTGCAGCAAGCAAACCAGCAGCTGTCAAGAGCAGCAAACTACCAGGTAATGTCAATGCCGACTGCCAGTTCTCTGTAACTGTCCTTTCTCAGTAGTCCCGACTTCTTTCTCAGTAGTCTCCTTTCTTACACAGTTCAGATTTTGCTTATCGATTTCCTCAAGGCTTGAAGACTTACAGGTGTATGTTAGACTATGATGGTATTTCTAGGTCACTATAAAACTAAAGTCTGTAACCTCCTGTAAAATTATCCAGTCTGTTTCAGAGGACCTGGACTTATACCTTTATTTAAAAAAACAAAGAAACAAACAGAAAACTCAAACCAACCAACCCCGCCTTTGACAGTTTAAGAAGTAAAAGGTTCTTGCGTATGGAGAGCAAGCCTCTAAAGATCACTGAAGGAGTAGGGAAGACAAGGAGGGAAGTCTTCTGAAGATGCTGCCACTTAGCATGAATTTTTGCTGTCTAAAATATTCTCAAAGCTGAATATATCCAGCTTCTGTTAATTGCTACCCTGATGCTAAAAACATATTTCAAACTCCCAATCTTTTTTGAAAAGCCTTTTGAATACCTTTAAATGCCACTCTTTATAACATTTTTTGAACTTATTAGAAATAATCTTATTAGCAATAAGTCTTTCCTCTTAAGTCAGAGTTAGTCCTGAGACTTTTTTTTTTTTTTTTTAAATCCTCTTACGTGTGTTAGTACTAGCCAGGACAGTAAATCAATGACAAAATGGCTGAAGGATTGCCTGCTGATTCCGGAAGTGGGAGAGGGAAAGGGGTGGATGCATCCTTGAACTGAATTTTAGGTGGTACTAACTGGCATGTATGGTCAATGGCTTCTATTTTGATACTGTCAAAGTTCAGGGGGAAAAAAAAATAGTAACAGGCAACATTTTCTGTGAAAGGTGTTAGTTTTCTGGTTGAAATTAAAAATGAAAAATTTTTGCTTTATCTTGAGGAGGAAAGGATGAATATCTTCTGATCTCAAAAGAAGGTTATCGAGACTTGTGACAGGCTTCTGTTCAGTGGGTCTTGCAGCACAGACCAGACACTCGGTGGAGTTGGCCTGTTTGAAAGGATTGTGTAGCTTAGATTTGAGCTTTCCTTTGCTTGAAAACTCATCCTTGTTCCAAGACGCTGAAAAATCATTCCACTTTCAGCAGACTTATTTAAATTTTGGCAGCTATTATATAAGTTTGCCCCGACCCTCTCAAGGAAGTGTTAGAGGCCCAGGCGTGCTGGTGGGGACGAGGCTGCATGTGGCTGGTACCCTCACAACTCCTGTTTGTGGTTGGATGAGGTATGCACCCCTCATCTGCTGTGTGGGGTACCTTCACGCAGCAGAGCTGTTTGGGCAAAGCCAGGCTCCTCTCCTCTCTTTTCTCCTTTACCACTGCTGCTTCAGCACTTGTAGAAATGATGATCGAGTGCATGAGGAAATAGGATCTCCATGTCTTTAGTCCACTACCTTGCTTAAGTAGGGTTACAGAGAAAATGCAGTGTTGGCAAGAGATGGTCTCCAGGATGAAAAAGGAAGAGACTAGGAGTGTAAGGAGAGAACTGGCCACAGATTTTAAAAAAGGAAGTTACTCTAGCAACCATATTGAGTTCTAGCAAGTGAAATGATGAAATGAAGAAATCTTAGCCTGACGATGGGACAAGTAAAACTAGAAGAAGAGAAGAGTTAAGAAACTTGGTAGTCTGGGTGGTACTGGGCAGAGAGCTGGCAGCTCCAATGAAGAGCTCACACAGATGTAGTTCTTCAGGGGGGAAAAAAAACCAAAAACCAAAACCACCCAGGCAGAAGAACCTCTGCCAATAGAGCTTTGCTTCTCGAGCTGTGGCCTAAAATCCCGAGATCTGAGTGTTATTATCCCTTGACTATCAGCAAAAGCCAATGAAATGGACTGGTAATTTCCTTTCCTGCTGTGAAGGAAACCTTCAGATTCCATATCCTTCAGATAAAGGATGACAGGCTGCTGCTAGTCTTGTGTGCTCTGGTATCTCAAGTTACAGACCTGTATGGGAGACGTGAAAGTTTTGGACGTGCTCATAACTTCCACTTTATTGTAGTGACATCTGTATAACTGGGTCCTAAGTCAGGTCCCCTTCTTTTTTTGTCTTTTAGCCCCTACTCACGTGCTCTTCCTCTCTCATTCTCCCTCTCTCTTTTTTCTTGCAAGTTGTACCTAAGAAACTTCACAAAAACAGCTTTAAAATACCTCTGTGAATAGATGCAAAGTCAATCTTCTAGAAGTCTGAAATTGCAGTCCTTTGTCCCCTTCTGTATATACATTAATAGCCTTTAAATACCTTTTTTTTCCTAGCCGGCCATTTCCATCTCCTCTACTGTTCAGATTGATTGTCCATTTTCCTCTGTATGTGGTCACCTGCTCTCTCACATTTTCTTTCCCCCAGTGTTCTAATCACATCCATTCATTACGATACTGCATTCTCTTTAATTAGTTTATTATATATGCCAGAAAATACCACTGAAATCATTCTGTTAAATAATACAGCTATAAAAGTAAATTGTGGATAAATTTGCTCTTTTTTACTTGAACAATTTTATATGACCTGTTGTTAGTAAGGACACAATTTAGTTAGATTGTACAAGCAGTAGGACCATAAAGGCATTTCAGTAGTCTTCTGATCTGGTGGTGAAGTTTTCAATAAACTCGTTTTTTCATCTATTGGCAGCAAAGGTCCCGAAAGAAGATGTGCATCCTCATTATTATACTTGCTGTTGGTGCATTTCTTCTTGGAATCATCATATGGTTATCTACAAGATAAGTCTCTGGCAAAAGCGCTGTAAATGGTATTTAAATTATGAAATGATGAAATTCCTAGTCATAGTTTGTTCATTGTGAAGCTAAGCAACATAATGGTTCTGTACTTCATCACACGTATTTTTTTTATAAGACTTTTTGTTTTAACCTGAGAAGTAATATTCTCAGTACTACTGTCAGTATAACTGCCAGCCCTCTTGGCTGTGAGTGCTGTCTTACCAGAAAAAAAAAACAGTTGACATCATAAACTGTTCTGTTAACTTAAACATGAAAACCTCTTAAGGTTTAGGGGGGGAGCTAATCAAAATCCTGATTATTTGTTTTGAAGGGGCAGGTAATTATCTTTTGGGATATTGCTAAATGTTGCTGCCAAAACAAACTCCTGAATTGTTGCATGAGGCAACAAATTCACATCTTAGAATTTATT